ATTGTACGTTATAATGGGGAGCCATAAAAGCCCCAGCAACATCTCGGAGACTTGCCAAACACCCTGAGCGTTCATTACAGCCCTCATTAAAACATCCACGTCGGCAATGGGAGCTCTTACAAATGGAAGGAGCATGTAATTGCTGCTTGATTGTGGTATATGTAACATATGATAAAGTGGAATTACCACTCTTTTTTCTGCAGTGTTAGTGAAACTTAATGGGGAAAAAGGCTGCAGTAAACAAATCCTCAGAGCGTTGTTTGATTGTTACATTATAGGGCTATTTGTTTAAAGTGGGGCAGGTGAGTTAGGGGACAGTGCATCCAGGACAAACTAAGAAGGATGATAATCAAGCTTGGGCTTCGGGGGATAAAAGTAATGTTGTTACCCATGAGACTGTGGGTTTCATTTGGAATAACTCCAGCTCCAACTTACAGCTACAAGGCCAATAACATAGAGCTGGGAATACATTAACTGGATTTCATATAAGAAAAGATCAGTATTGTTCTTTTTTATTACGGGGCAGCAAAGTCATCAGCACTGCATCTGCTTTAAGAATCGTGGAACTGGGCCGCAAAAGGTTACAATGAACCATTGAAGTCACCCCTGGTGAAAAAAATGTTTTGTTCTAATGCCAGTTTGGCCCATTGGGTTAAAGAGTTTAGTCTAGCAGTTGATCTCAATTCAGTCTTAACGAATGGGGTATGAGGAACTTTGTGAAGCCGAATGTCCCAACTTTTAGGCAGCTTTGAGAGCAATTAAGAGTTCATACAAACAACTAAACTGTGCCGTCTTTTACATTTTTATATTTTTATAAACATTTTAAGCCCAGTCAACACTAATTCACAGTGTCACTTTTTTATTTAAATGACCGCTTCCGTTTTTGTTTGGTGCCATTTTAAAGCGTCTCCTTTAAAAAACCTGAACTTCACTGCTGAAAATGAAGTTTCCCTCCTCGACTCTGAATGATAGCGGGCCTCTATCATCACGGCTCTGTGTGCTCAGCCACTGGAAAAGGATTTTCAACTGCACCATTCAGCCGGGGCCCAAGAAGCCTGCAGCCTTTATCAGACCGGTTGATTGATGTGTTGTGGGCCCTGCTGTGGTTAACAGCAATTTTTATCTGTTGCTAGCGGCAACAGCCCAGGTCCCTGGTGCGTAGAGAGCAGCAGGGCCCAGGATCTGAAGCCGGACCGCACACGGGGATAAACAAATAGATTTTTTAAGGCGGACAGCCCTCATAGAGCGACCACTGACAGGTAGCGCCCCACCCCAAGGCCAATAGAATGTCAGGGCCCCATCCCACTCCTGCTGGGCTCTTGGTTTCCTTCACTAATTTTCACCATGTGCAGAGCCAGTGGTATGGAGAGACCTGCACACCCCACTGGAAAGAGGCGCGGTGAGAAAGAGAGTGAGGGAGGCAGAGTTATGTACAAAGAGACAGACAAGATGCTCCATCTACTGCAGGTGAAGACGCCAGAGTATATTAACAAGAAAATCTTGTTTCAAAAATTTAATTCAAGCTATAATTTACACCCAATTTCCTTTGAGTTGCTGTGTTTAGCATTAAATCCAGCAAATCTGTTTTACTCTGTTAAATAAAGCATGGAGCTTTTAATGGCTCCTACTGTAATTAAGTGACATAATCCTTGTATTTTGATAGAGATCTTGTGATAAGCTCTCGTCACTCAGACAAACAAGTGCATTTGTCACAACGTGGAGGTCGTGAATGCCAAATCAATTAAAACAAGCTTGTTTAAGAATGCACACATGACTGGGACTGCTCTGTTTAGAGTGTACTCATTTAGCGTTAAATATGATTATGACAACCTGAGCACGGGGAAATGAAGAACGGGTGTGTCTGAGAGCTCCAAATACTCTTATTCGACACAAACACCTCAGCTAAGGTTTGACTCTCTGACGTAGCGGAGATAAACCCTCCCAATACAGACTAGTTAGATTATACTGTCACAGACAAAACCTGCATGGATTTATCGTCAAAGAAAACATGAGCCGTGGCTTGGCCTTGGGTGGTTTCAAAAGGCGTGGGGTGGGTGACTGGCACTTAATCACTTCATCTGGAAGAAAAGAGCGGCGTGTTGTCTTCTTGGGCTTAGCTACAACATCTCCCCCTCCAGACAATATATGTAACCCAGGGGTAATGACAGGCTGGGCGGATCGTTGAAGTGAGATTTTTTTTGACATTTTCCTGTTTCTTGCAGCACGTATCTCTCAGGTGCAGATGTTGGACTCTTTATCGAGGAGCCCCTGAGAGGATGATAAATCGCCAGAGCCCAGACCCATCTCCACTGGAACAACAATCAGGTAGCAGCACCGGAAACAAGGAACAGATTTTGTCTCCCAAACATAGCCAGGGCTATAATGAAGCCTGCACTAAGCAGACAGAAGAGAGTTGGACTGATAAACAATTCCATATCCAGTCTTCCACAGCGAGCTAGATAGCAAGTCTCATTCCTGCTGCTACATATCAATGCTGGACTCAGTGCGCCGGAGATTAATCCTCACCCTGAAATGCGATGGGTGGGACAGAGGGTTGTGGGTTTTAGCAGGACAGGTGCAGCCTTTGCAAGACTGCCTGTCTTTCAAATGCATCAACTGGATAAACAAATTATGCTCAGATTAATAGTTAACTTTTAATAGTTTTATTACGAAGCTAAATGCTACTGTCTGTTTGTGTTGTGTAGTTTGTGCTGTGTGCATATAAAGAAGGGATGTTCCCGTTTCCCTTATCAAGGACAATTTGAACAACTAGAAATTGCATGAAAAATGCACGACTTAGAAAACCTGCAGTGTTTTGCTCCACTAGGTAAAGGCATGTATTGGTATCATTTAGCCATGTGATATTATTCACTTCTTACTCTTCCATTTTTCTTTAAGTTTTATCTGAAAAATAGATTTAAAAAATATCATACCAATGTGAAAACCTGTGTCTTAAGATTTCCGTTTACAAAAACACAGTTAGTACAATTAAACCAACAGCTAATGTGTTGTGTAAGCAACAACCAAAGCATTTAAAGAGAGCATTATGGTATTTGGCATAAAACACTCCTTATGCATGAGTCTGGCACTAAAATGCAGGAGCGTCCTCTACGTTCTTCTCTAAACCAATCAGTCAAGGCCACTCAATTCCATATGTCTTCCAGAAAGACATATGGAAGCATAAACAAGCATCTCCGATAGAAGTAAAAGACAAACTGTCAGGAAAGATTCACTTTATTAAATCTTAGTGACTTGTGACAGATAACTGGACCGTGTACACCAGCTTGAGTTTTTATTGTGGAGGAGCAAAAAAGCAGATAGCGATGACCGCCAGAGGCCAACTATTAGATAGCTCTTCCGTGCTATCAGCGGCCAGTAGCGCAAAGTTGCCTCATTGACCCTCCCCTACTCATAACCAGGCCTCCGCCCACATACGTAGCCTCTTTTTTTCCAGCTATAACACTATATCAAGCCCCTGGTCTTTTCCTCGCCCTACTCCTCCTCCTCCCATATCCACTCAGTCTCTGCTGGCAGTTCCCTAAAGCCCCCTGACCTCGCACCCCATGTCTCTCCTTCCAAACCATCATGCTATAAAGCCCGAAGCACTCACAGATAAGCAAACCCCAGAAATCATGCAGGCCCAGCAGCAGAGCAGATTGAGAGTCAGAGCTCAGTACCCAGGAGGTGCCTGTAGGCTAGAAACGCTGCAGATAGCACCACTGGATAGCTGGAGTGGGGAGCCAGACAACATGAAACTTCCTGCCCTCGTTACTGGACTTTCCTTTGCTTGCACAATGCCCCTGCCTCCCACACAACCACCTCCACGCCAACTCCACCTCCATTTTTGCCCTCTCTCTCTCCCTCTGTCTCTCTGATCCCCTCCTTCTTCCTTTCAGATAAAGAGAGGGCCTCGTTCCCTGCCGACTCAAACTGACAGCTCGAGCCAAAGGGCTCCACAAGCTTTTTTGGAAGGTCTTGTTTGTTTTCATCCATCTGTGAGCATGCAGCCACTGGGGAAAAGGAATGTGACATGTTCTATTAAAACAAAATAAAAAAGAAGATCGCACAGAGATCAATGTCTTCTGAAGTTGAGCTTTGTTCAGTGCTTTAACTGTAGTCCTTTGAGGCAGATTAAGGCTGACAAACCATTTATAGTTGTTTTGTTTGCCGAGATGATTGCTTCCAAGCTACAATGAGAACTGCCATATGCCACTCATCAGCTAAAAGTAGCACACTTTAAACAACGTTCCTCTTATGAGTTTCCCTTTAAGGAAAGGACATAAAGGACGACCGCTTGTCTGTATTATCCAGAGACTACACACATCATTGAAACAATGGGAGGGGAAGAACACAAATTTACGGTTCGAGAATGCACTGGGGCAAGGCAACAGATGCTTTCAGGGGATAAAAATAGTCCTGTAGTGACAATTTGTGAGCTAGTTTATGTTCAAAAGGTTTGAGCTGATGTTTTCTTAGGTGGCACTAAATAATCCTCTTGGGCACCTTTACCTTGAACAGGCGACATGTTCCAAGATTAAAAAATAACTCTCTAACTACCTCTTATTAGCACGCAGCCACTTCCAAAAGTCCACGGGACAGTTTTCACTGTAACATGCATACATGCAGCCTTCCTGCAGTGAAAAATGGATTTATAGCACAAAAGCAAAAGTCTTTTTAAGCATTTTTTTCATATGTGTGAGCAGAAACATCCGTCACTGACAGTCACTGGAGGAAGATATAAAACTCTGACATCGAAATTGCAGCTCAGGCGAACACAGCGCTGATCAATGCCAATAAAACGAGGCCCTTTTTGCCAAGGTAGCATAGGACACCTTCCTGCAATTTAATCAGTCAGTCAGCCAGAATTAATGTTCCTAATATCATGATTTCTCCATTACTCTATTTAACATAATTAAAATGTCGAGCGCCGGGGCCATAAAGCGGGTCGTTGGAGATTGTAATTCTGCCGTAAAGCTATGAAGCATGAAAATGTCACTTACCGAGTAGCCACGGCCTGACAGCGAGTGAGTGGAACTCTGTAGGGAGAGAGAGGAGAACAGGGATGACCTTTAAGGAGTGTTTCACTCGCTCACACTGACATGATGAAGCAGCGTAGCTTTAATATCAGTATTCACATTAACCTTTTACCCGCCCTACCATGCACCCCACGCCTGCTCACTTTGCTACCATTCATTCTGTTCTGAACAACAGGGGTAGCTGGTCTAAAAACAAAAAGTCCCATACTACAATACACCGTGGAAAACATATGATTGTAGGTCCACATCTGTGTAAATACAACAGTGAGATACTGGGTGTACTGGTCTGTCCTCATAATGCGCTGCAGTGCTACATGTGAAAATTAAGTATCATTTATTGGTTTGAATTTAGTTCCCAGAGACGTCAACAGACGAATGAGAGGGACTCCATCACCTTCATCAGGAGACAAATTAAAAAACTATTTGATACAGGAATTATTTTCTAGCTGAAGATTTTAAGTGTCTGTTTAGTGCTAAAAAAACTCCTTAGATTAGGAAGAGCACCACAACAAGCATTCTTTGGATGACTGGGCAGATATTTCACCATCGGTAAATATGGTGCATAAAAATAAGAGCTAATTTCCAAAATCATAGTCTTTCATAGCCTAACATTTTCAGTGTTCCCACCATGTTCATCTCTATAAAAAATAAAGAAATCTCTGTATGCATGTGTGTTGTTTGAATTTCTCAACAACAGTCTATCAGGTCCGACACGAACTTGTTGGGAAGGTGTCATTGTGGGGTCCTGCGGGTTAGGGTGAGGCCGTTCTATGTCATCATCCTTGACCTTTATGCTGATGCACTCTTTTGTGTCCACACAATGACACCATTTCAGGTAACATAGTTTCTAAATAACAGCGCACTGTCAATGACATCAAACGACAACAGGCACTCACCAATAATAAAGGGATCCATGCATCAGTGCGTTCTCTACGTTTCTATCAACTTTTCTTCTAAGCAGCTTCAAATTTGGCGAGTGTTTGAATGAGGGACGGCCTCTTTTCAGGGCCTTCTCCCTGTTGCTAGACAACAGTGATTTGTAACCTCACGATGTCACGATGAGGTCACGAATTCCCGTCACTAGATTTGTCGCCCATTTAAATAACGTGTCTTATATATGAAGCTCTGTGAGCAAATATTGATCTGTTGTCACAGATCAAAGTCATCAGGGTAACTGCACACTGGAACGTCATCCTTTGATGATGCTGACATTCTTGTGATGGTGGACAGAGTTACAAAAGAAAGAAAGTATAAAAATTATACACAGTGCCCATCAATTTTATGAGGTCTTTTACTTGTCTGTGTTTTATCTGTCCCTTTTTTATTCAGGATAAATATCTCTTTATGCAGTAAGGGACGTGTTTCGGCCCATTTAACTCCCGTGCTTTCTAATGCAGTCCTCTAAATACTGAACAAGAGCAGTATGGAGGCAGAAAAGGCTTGGTTTTGTTCTGTTCTCTTGCTCTGTCTGTCAGCGCCCAGCACGAATACCAATCTCAAAATCCCTCCCTCCACTTCCACTTTTCACTGCTTTTATTCCTCTGTCTAGATTGGCAATTTCTCCCCCCTGGTCTCTGGAGGAGACTTTTCTGCTAGACCAATTTCATCCATAGGTCCACCTCCAATCCAAAACGACCTCCCCCACACCTTCACCGCCACTGCCTCCCTTGTTTTGCACCCTCGCAATGTCCCTCATCCATTCTCCCACACCTGCTCAAAGCATCAGCCCTTGTCAACGCCTGTGTGCCCCTCTGATTTGCAGGACGGCTCCTGTGGTGACGATTAGGGAGGAGTCCTGCTGCGAACCGGAAAGTAGGCTCTGTGGGAATCAAAAGGCTATTCCCACTCTGCTCAACCTTTCTGCTATCCTCACTACCGCAACCAGAGAGGAGGCCAGAGTATGGGGCGTAAGAGCCGAACGGAAGGCAAAAATATGTGGATAAAAAAGGCCAAAAGCGTGTTTCAAGGAAAATGCGGTCTGTTGTTTATATGTGTGCGTGTTTTGAGTGCGTTAAAATGTGTGTATGTTCATGTGTTTGTGTGTGTAAGTGCATATGTGCATAGGTGGAGTGAGGCCAAGGCCATTTGGAATTAGCCTTACTATGTCGAGTTCATTCAACTTGCAGCATTCTGAGTAGAAAGAGAGGCTTATTTAAATGATAATGAGGGACAATCCATTGGATTTAGTGCTGGTGAAGGGAGAAAAAGAGGGGAGGGAAAGGGGGATCCATTAAAACGCCAGTGGTTCATAAGCCATAGGGTCGGCATACAGCTAAACACTCTCTCTTAAAAGCCATTATACATGGCTCTCAATGGATTTCTGCAGTGCTTAGGACTTCAAAAGGATTTAAGAACCCGCCCCCGAGAGAGAGAGTGTTGGGGGAGGGAGTAGGACAAGTATGTGTGTGGTGGCGATGGTGGTTGGTGGCGAAAGAGATGGGGCGGATGCTGGCGGCATTTAAGGGTTAACTAAACAGCCCCGGAGAAGAAAAATGTTACTAAATCCACCCCCTTATCCTCTCCCAATTTCCACGCCCCCTCCTCCACTCTTCCTGCAAAAAAAAAGAAAGAAAGAAAGAAAGAAAAACATGGCGTTAAAAGGGGAGGGTCCTGTCCATCTTCTCCTAACCCAGACTATTGGTTTTTTACCGTTGCATGAAGGCCAGGAGGCGGGCCAATCACTACTAGTTGGACAATAATAAGAGAAAGGATGTGAACACGTATGCCCTCTGTGGCTGGAAAATAAGGTGGGTGGGTGGGTTTGGGTGCATGTGGGTGGATATGTTGGTGAATACAGTTTGGTTTTCGAGACGCCGACAGCAGCACAACTGCCACCCCCCCCTCTGCAGGACACAGTTACAGTGGAACCCACCCCCTCTCCCACCTCACATTTCCCTAATCCCTGCGTGGCTTAGTGCAGGGGCCCTACTGCACTGCAGGCACAATTACCTAGTCAAAATAAACAGATAAAGACCCGACCATGGCAATGAACAAACAGCATCCCCTGCATTTTTTTCTTTTTTTTTTTTTACCCCCTGCTCACAAATTGATGCATGACTGTTTTTACAGGCAGGCGGGTGCGTCCGCATGTCGCATTTGTCTCCGTTTCCTTTGGCGGTAAGACAAGAGAAATCCATTTTACTTGTTGCCAATGCGGCATCATTAGTTAAGAGCTCTTAAAGCTGGGGAACCACTTTGATGTGGTGGAGCGTATTTTATGAAAATTAGCAGAGCTCTCAGTGCGGTGGTGGAGATTTCATGGAGCTGAAAAAGTAAGAAATATAAGGGAGACAATGACACGCTGTGTGTCACGTCCAGGCCTTCACTGGGTGGAATACAGCCAGCGAAGAAACACGAAAAGATGGAAGGAGAAAAAGAAAGATAAAGACAGGCAGAGGAGGAGAGATGGATTGATATAGATGGCGTGGCTACAGCGATCAACGTCTGTGCACCATTTATTTGGCAGCAGATTAGAGAGACATGCCACATCTAACACCGTCGCCGATTACAGCGTGCAATTTTCAACCGTGTTCTCCCCCCACCCCTCGCCATTACAGCAAGCACCACCACTTCCACCGCCCCCCTTCGTTCATGCCCCCTCCTTCTTAGTGCTTGTCGCATATCCCTGTCAGAGCTGTCAACAAGCGTTGGGCTTTTATCTGACAAGCCCGCCTCTTCCTCCTGACTTTTTCATTAAAAGACAGCCTTTTACACAAATTCAAGAAAAACAGTGCGGAGGGGGGATGCATGAGAGAAACTGAGCAGCGAGGCTTAGAGAAAAGAAAATGAAGATAGGAAAAAATTAGGCTGTTTTTTTTTCACGAGACTGAATTTTCGGTTGGAAATATGAATAACTTAAAACAATGTATTTAATAAGTTCTTTTAAATCTTTTTCCTTCCCATCATTTCAACCCTGCTGGAAAAGGAAGCTGCACATTTTCCTTCTTCCTCTCTTTCTCTCGCTCCTCCTGCTTTAGTCAGCTAAATGAACAGTCTGATTGAATTTAGTTAGGTTTGGGAGGCCTGCTTGACAGGCATTAGTTAGGAAGCATATTTCTACATTCATTTCAAATGAGCTGCTTGGGATTTTGCATAAATTCTCATTACTTCCCCTGTATTTAAATTGCATTATTTCATCCCTTATGCTGAACCAATGTCTGGTTTCCATTTTGCTTTGCCACCTACTCATCTTCTAAATGGGCTGGCATATGGATGCGGGCGCAGGGATAATTGGAACCGTTCCTTTAACTCGTTCCGTTCTGGGGTTGGTGAGGTCGACCCACACCTGGCTGAACCTGGTTATGTTTAAATTTAACTGGTCACGCTTCACGTAATGGCAAGTAAACTAGGTGATATTGTGTGACCAGTCCTTTCTATGTGCTGTTAACCAACTACCCTTGGGAGCTTGGAAAGAAAAGCATCTGGACTTCTTTAAGTTTTGGTGCAGAAGCTTTTCTTTCCAAGCTGCTTAGCCTACGATGACCTGGATGACCGAGAAGCTTCAGAGACACATTAACCAACTAGCATTCTTCCCAAAACAAAGAGGCTATCTGAGATTAGAGTTTGGGTCTCGTCTGTGGACTCACCTCACTGAGCTGCTCTTTGGAGTTGCTCCTGTGTGGTCGACTGAGTTCAGTCTCGTCCTCGCCAACTTTGACTGGATGAAGAGCCAAAGGTTTGATCTGCAAAACACACAAGACATGATGCCATCGTCTAAAAATGTAGTCATATAATCGACCATGCCACTACTCAAAGACACTGACTTATTGTATTTTTTTTTCAGAAACAAATTTAAAAGCTGCAACAGCTTTTTGCTATAACAAGATGGCAAAGAGAAGAAGACTGAAATATTTACACAGACCAGAGAAAAAACAACAATTTAAAACTATCTTGTTGAGAGCTAAGTGTACTTCATAACTGTGGTGGGCGCACATTTTAGTCTCACCTACTTTGTGTAATGCAACAAACTATAGAAACCTCTATTAATATTCATGCCATCTAAAATTGTACAGAAGGCTGGGTTGTTGATTGCTGATTGCCTTCTATCGCTGCATTTTCCAATTCAGTGTCAGCCCATGCAACAAGATCTAATAACACCAAACATTTAATCACGCTAGAAAGATTTTAGTTGTGCATTAGCCAACTTTATATCTGACTGACAGAAATGACACACAAACACAATAATTGCAAAGAAGACCAAAGTAAAAAACAAAAACAATACATTGCACACAATGGTACATGAGAAAAGAATAGCAGAACTCTGGTCTACCTGCAAATATGTGAAATTTATTAACCCTTTAAGACCTACCATAGAACCAAGTCCGCCAGAGCTTATATTATATTTTTACATGTTGTGGAGCCATTTCTGGGAGCATTTCAAGTTGATATACATCAATAATACCATTATAGCCAAAATTTTAATAATATGCATTAAGTGCATAGTAATTACATAAATTGCAAAAAAGTGCAATAAACTACAAAAAATTTGAAAATCGTTTTTGTTTTCTTAACATATATTTCTAGTTAGAGAAATTTAAGAGAAACTGTAAATACAAAAAAGTTGCACAAAATAGTTTCCCACCACAGGAAATTTATTTTAAGTGTCTTCATAGTTTTATTTTTGAAATACACCAATTTTTATACACTGCAGGAAAAACGAAAATAAATATTATAGTGCAAATTTGCAAAAAAACCCCAGCATGTGCATCAAATTAAACTATTTCCAGCAGTGCAATATGAGTCCTCAGCATCCCAGAAACGACACAGGAAGTCATAAAGTCAAACATAACTTTTAAAAACACCAGTATAGGCTCATGAGGCCCTGATGGTAAAAAACTACATTTCTGCAAAATGACGTCACTTCCGGTTTCGGGCAGGTCATGGCGGACATGCGATAGTTCACGCTGATGGACGTAGGAAGTGTTACAAACAGCTGATCGGATCGGCAAAGCCTGTTTCTGGAATATTATGTTTTTGTTGCTGCAAGCGCTTTTTATGCAGTTTTTGCAAAGCTATATGTGGAAGGAAACCGTGACTGAGGACAAGCTGATGGCATAAGATGTAAGTTACACAAAACGGAGCGTGCCTGCTCTGACCGGCTTTAAAGGGTTAAAATACTTTTTCATTCACTTGGTTTCCTGTCAAACTGCAACCAGCAGTGGAAGTGGAAGTTTTTTTAATCATTTATAACAGTCTGTTAAACTGTGTCTTATATTCCAGCTCATGTTATTTCCTCTAACTTAGTCGAATGTACTTTGAACCAGGTGACTATGTAAAGCACAGTCGAATAAAAATGGGTTCAACTGACCATGGAACACAGCCTTTCAAAGGAAATACAATGAGTGTGTGAGAGTCAGTTTATACTTTGGTTAAATGCAAAATCGAACTGGCTGCAACAAAAACACCTGGAACGCAAAACCTCAATCAACAGGTGCTGGTCGCACCAGCCAGCATGGGTAATGCAGCAGGGCAAATTAAGTAAACACAACTGTGCTGGGTTTACTTAATTTAAGGGATCAGTGCAAATGCAGTTGCTCCGTGTTGAGTTTGACTGATTTATTTAACTATAAGTCCAGTCAGCATAGTTCTGCTTGAGTGAAATAACATTACCTTCTTGATCACATACTGTACATTAGATAATGTGAGGACACACCCGATCATACTTTGGGTAGGCAAAATTAACAGAATAGCTCTGACCTGTAATATCCTTACCTTGGCTGAAAAATGAAAAAGCAAATAATATGCTGCTGGACTAAAATTCCAGCCCAGTTCCTCAGTTAGCTCTAAAAGCTCCATAAACTAACTTTGAAAGGCCGGAATGACCAAGCAAAAACTTAAAGGTAACGTGAACTATGAGTAGATAATACTGCAGACAATGTTGACATGTGTATAACATTTTAGAGAAAAAAACTTACTATTTAGCACATACAGAATATCAAATAAAAGTTGATGTAATGTAAAATCATGGCGAAACCAAGACATGACAGCCCTAATGCTAACATGGATGGTTTGCTTTATTGTAGGCCATCAAGTCCCACAGTTGGTGTGCAACCAAATTCCCAGCCAGATGGGAGGTTGGCGAGCTAAGCAAGGAAGACTGTGTGCTGCTGCAGGATCAGCCAATCACAATGTCCCGTGCTGCTTCCCCACCTTGGAGTACAGCAGCAATGGCCGCGGGGTGTAATCCATTTGACTAGCAGTTTGCGTGTAGCAGCTCCCCCGGTGGCAAGTATGGTGTCTGGCCCCGGTCTCCTGATCTCCACTGTAATTTAAGCAGATCACTGCTACAATTAACCTTTCCCGGTAAATATCAATTATGGCCCCCGGCTGGGCTAGAATTAAAAGGGTCATCAGCTAATCTGACAGGTCCTGTACGGTACCACCTGGCTGGGAGAGAGGGAGGGAGGCAGGGCGGCAGAGAGAGAGAATGTTTGTCTACCCTTGTGCCCACCAGCTCACAAGCCAAGTAGACACAATTCCCTTTTAATTACCCTGCTGCCGCCAGGGCAAGCATGCTGATTGGCCAAGGTGCATTAGCAGTGTGCTGAGGTCAATAGTGACAGGATAGGGGTAGGGTGGGGTGAGCATGGAGGAGCAGTGGGGGGGAGCTGCCGCCTAGCAATCAGGGTGTAGAAATGGAAGGAAGAGAGACCTGGCAGGTGGGCCTAATTAGGTTTGACTTCCACCTCTACCCGCCTCTCCCTCGGTCTCTCTCGCTCTCTCTCAACTAGCTGTCAGCCTAATCACTCCTTGAATCTCAAAATAGATGGTGGCCCTTTTGATTTCCTCCTCTCAAGGAGAGCACAAACAGAGCAATCCTCCTTGGCAGGGAGGCAAGCACGTCAGTAGAGACGGAGCGTCGAGGTACAGCCACAGTTGTGTTGCTGTCAAGTGCTGGCGCTGAATACTTTGTTTACTCAGCATCAGCGTTGCTGACACATTCCCAAAGTGCCCAAAGTGCTTCCATCTCCTCAGGGACTTTGGGGTTACATTTCCCAGTCAGCAATCAATTTGGCTATTGATCAAAACACAGCTTCTAATTAGGCACCTAGGTTAATGATGTAGCGTGCAAAGACCGTTCCCCAACCTGCTGTTCAATTGCATGGGATAGCAATTGATCTAGGCAGGAATTCACCAACTCTGACAAGGGATTGGCAGCTTGGACTGCCTGTGATTAAGTGAGGGACTAATTTCCTGTCTGGGGAGGTGCTTAATTGGCCCTAAACTCCCAGCTATATAGCTTTCATGTTTTTTTCCCCCTTTTCTTTTGTTGTATACTCATTAATGTTAAAGGACAAGTTAGTAAGCTTGACAATGGGACTAATTGTCTTTGCTAAAATTCAACTGCTTGCAAGTGGTGACAAAGTCCAAGGTTATAACTATTCTCTATTCCTAAATGATGTCTTTAAAATCCACTCTGGGCAAAACAGAGAGAAAACACTGTTATCACTGCTTCGAAATGTCACATAGTTTTTGTGAAAATAAACTTTATTTAGGTTTGTTCCAGACAGTATTAGGGGAAGGCTAATCAGGCTGTAGCAGCAACTAAATGTTCTTATTGTGATGCTATGTGAAGTGTGTAGAAACTGTGAGCACAGTCATGTAATAGAGACTAGCTGAAAAAGTAATTAATTATAGTTACTAGTTACTTCTTCAAAAAAGTAACTGAGTTAGTAACTGAGCTACAAGATTCTAAAAGTAATGAATTACTTGAAAAGTAACTATTGTGTTATTTAAAAAAATGTTTAACCCTCTGGGCTCCAGGGTATAACTGGCCATTTTTAACCACTTTTGATTTTCCCTCCACATTTAACCTTTAAAAAATATTTACTTTGCCTTGTTTGGTGTCATTCTTTTCAGCACAACCTCACGTTTCTGAATTTACAGTTATGTTTTCATTTTGACACACCGTATTAACACAACTGATCTAAAATCACAGAAAAAACATAAAAACCGAGTAGAAAAAGATATATTTCTTACTGCAACCATCACAAACATGTTTAATGAATCAAATTTCATAACTTTAAATGCAAATATAAATTGTCAATTTTAAAATCATATGCACAAGTTTTGCAAACAACAAAGTTATTTGCAGCTATTTACCTTTTACCCTCTTTTTTTATAACCATTTCAAACTATTTATATAACAATCAGGTGTTCTGCATTCAATATGTACGTCTTTCTCTCTCTCCCTCTCTCGCCTTCACCCCTAAAACTTCCCCCTCTTCCCCCTTCATGTTGTCATATCATTGTTTGATTGGTCAACATGGTACATTTTTCCACTGACACAAAAGGGTGTTTTTTTGTTTTGTTTTGTTATTTTTTGCTCAGAGGGTGCTCGCTGCGCTGTCCTTAGACGTTAAACGAGACGAAATACATTGTTTATCATCTACATCATGGTTTTACGTGGCCTATCAACACAATTTAAAAAATTATTCTTCCTCAGTCAAACAGCAGCACTCATGCGATTGTTTTGCCTCCTTAGCTCCAGGTGTTGTGCTAGACAGTGATCGTGACCGTCCGCAGCTGCTTAAAGCTGTAGCGCCCAGATTACTTACAGCTACTTCCTGCAACTGATATAAGGTGCGGTAAGCTGAACACAGCTTCAACCGTCTGTTTGTTGAAAAATAGTAACGTGACCGCATTTTCTTGTTAGTAACGGTATTGTAACAATAGGGATAGT